CAAAGACCAGCTGACCGGTGCGCATGTGCACTCCAGAATCCGGAAGGGCGACAGCTGCCATGCCAGCCCATTAGATTGTAACACTAGTGGACAATGGATCCTACCACAAAGCATTTCAAAGGATAGCAAACAAAAGCATTATTACCTTCAAGTAAGAGCAATGGGAAGTTTCACAGAAGCTCCCTGCATAAACCATGTGAGACTGGCTGCAGTCAGCAATTCTTTGTTTTTATTATTTAATTTACTGGTTCTAAGAGTCCCCTAAGAAATATGAGGAACTCAATAATGGAACCAACCTCTCATTTTGATGACATTAGTAAGAAGGAACAGGATTCTCTTTTCAAAACAATAACGAAGCAAATCTTTCTCTTACTTTAGTGAAGGAAGCAACTGGGTTGGAAAACAAGAGAAAAATTCCATTATTTGCCCAAGCCCTCTAAAATTCTGGTGAAAGGTAAATTGCAATAGCAATAAGACTTATATACCACTTCACAGGCTTTACAGCCCTCTCTAAGCAGTTTACAGTGTCAGCATATTGACCCTAACAATCTGGATCCTGATTTTACTGACCTGGGGAGGATGGCAATGGGAATACTTAACCAAGCAACATGCAAAATCCTGCTGGTTCCCACTGACTTTGTGGGAAGTCAGCAGGGAAGGTCACAAATGGCGAGCAAGTGACCCTGGGATGCTGCAACTTCACAAACTGATCATATTCCTTCAAGCTGAATAAATAACAACAACAACAACAACAACAACACAATGTATATTGATTTACTATTTTTCTTAAAAATCTACTTCATATAAAGGATTAGCTTACAACAATAGGTTTTGTTTTCACTGGCATTTTTCATGGATAGATAACCTGATGCTCTTCATTTCCCCTTGATAACATCACTAATGGTTAGGGGTTGTAGTCCAAAATTCTGCTTTGCAACTGTTTTAATTTATACCCAGAAGTTGAAAAGCACATGCTATTCTTGCATGGTCTCCACAGCTTCTATCACAATTTAGGCAGAAGCTATAGATATTTTGTACAATTTGGAATTGAAATTAATTTAACCTAAGATCTTAACCTCTTGTACTTAGTTTATACATTTGAATTCAAAACCTTGTATGCAAAAGGTTTTCATAAAGTATGTGAAAACAGCTTTTCTGCAAATTCTATAGCTGCCTTTGGCAAGTCTTATTTTCTTTGATTCTAATTATAGATGCAGCTTTATTTACCAATGAAAGGCTGTTCTAACTGAATGGCATCTCATTGTGTTACGCAAAAGTATATTTCAAGCATTTTGGGGAACTATTAAGACTTCTTTTTTAAAAAAATCCTGGTACAATGCTTTGAATTGCAAAGTGGTCTGTTCCTCACTAAGGGAACAAGCTTGTAGTATACAATTATCACTACAATTGAAAGGTATTGTGATACTTTTCTTAAAGGCATCTCTATTCTTTTAATCTTTAAAACAATTTAAAGTCTTGTAATGATATATATATATATATATATATATATATATATATATATAGAGAGAGAGAGAGAGAGAGAGAGAGAGAGAGAGAGAGAGAGAGAGAGCGAGCGAGCGAGCCAGTTTGGTTTAGTTGTTAAGGCATCAGACTAGAAACCAGGACACCATGTGTTTTAATCTTGCCTTATGCATAAAGCCTGCTGGGTAACCTTGGGCCAATCACTTTCTCTCAGCCCTAGGAAGGAGACAATGGTAAGCCGCTTCTGAAAAACCTGTCAAAAAACTGTATGTATCTATTCATGCAGTCTAAGAATCAGACATGATTGAACAACAACAACAAAAGAGGATATAGTAAAGGTAAAGGTTCTCCTTGCACATATGTGCTAGTTGTTCCCGACTCTAGGGGGCGGTGCTCATCTCTGTTTCAAAGCCGAAGAGCCAGCACTGTCCAAAGATATCTCCGTGGTCATGTGGCCGGCATGACTAAACGCCAAAGGGGCACGGAACGTTGTTACCTTCCCACCAAAGGTGGTTCCTATTTTTTCTAGTTTGCAGTTTTTAAGTGCTTTCGAATTGCTAGGTTGGAGAAGCTAGGACAAGTAACAGGAGTTCACCCCATTACGCAGCACTAGGGATTTGACCTTTTGATCGACAAGCTCAGCATCTTAGCCACTGAGCCACCGCGTCCCTTGAGGATATAGTAGGTAGAGCTAAACTTAGCCAAAGAAGGAAAATTAGTATGCAACTCCTAACCATTACTTTGCTGTTTTCTTGCTTTGTCCCCAGAATGGCAAAATACCTGTAACAATACATCACAATTAATTTTTGTAACCAACTTTCTCTACTGAAGTATTTCAGCTAAATTATTTAATTATGTTTATATAGTCATGCTTTTCCTTGTATTTTTCAAAAAAGAATCATTTAATTGGGAGAAATGTTTAAAAATAGGTTATAATTCTCAGAGGTTTTTTTAAAAAATATTTTGAGAGTTTCCATAGCACTCTTCAGAGTAGTCCAAAGTTCTTAGTATACACTAAGTATACACTATTAGTATACACTAATAGACACTCATCATACACTTAGTATACACTAATTGACACTCATCATACTACTTCCTTTGGATTGAACAGCATCATCTGTCTATGTGATCACTAAGAATAGAAACTCAATCAAAAGCAAAATATATAAAGTATAGAAAAAGAGTAAGGAGTAACATGCAAAAGTAATTAAAATCATATGAAATCATTTGTTTAACCTTTCACTGTCTCTGTATATTTCTGTCATAAATTGCCACAACTTCCATTATGTCCATGTATTCAGCTCATACATTCATCCCTTTCTGGGTTTCTTACAATCTTATTTATACACTGAAATTCCATGTTTATCACTTGTACATGGAGTTGTTTGGCTTATTTGTTTATACTAAAGTTATATAAGGGATGGCCATTCCTTGACGCTGGCAAGCTGGTTACATTATGTGAGAATTGTAGTTCAGCATTATTTGGAAGTCTATAAACACTGTATTTGCAAGAAGAAAAACTAGCAGTGCTAATTACAACAAAAGATTTTTGCATGGAACAACAGGACCGGTACCTCGTATTTATTCTCTCAAGTATACAGAGTGTATAGATAGCAAATTAAATCTATAAGGTAAACTGAAAAGAATGCAACCTACTGTAAAAATACACTGTGGATCTGAAACCTTTGCTCCAACGAACAGAAAGTTTATTTTGGCTTCAGAATGACTGTCTTTTATTCTACTCAAACTTTATAAATCCTGCTGTAATCCCTGAGAACCACCTGTAATCTTAATTTGCTATCTCTGATTTTGTGAGGTTTTGGTTATCATGTTGCCATTTAAACATTTTTTAAAAACTTTTTTTGGTTTTGCAAACTATGAAATACTCTGGGGACCCTTTAACATTAAAAAACCCCACAAGCATGCATACACATACACTTTAAACATTTAAATACGTATTTGTATTGGCATCACATATATAAATCATTCAATTAGTTGCCATGGTGACAGGCTATATGTCACCATTAAGTTTCAACATTGCTTGATATTTTTCAAATTGGCTAAAAAAAATAGTAATAAGATGTCAGGGAAACAATGTTTTGCTAGTAGATAAATGTTAATGGATTTACAGTTCCTGGCAACTGTGGATGCAAAAATCTTTTGCTTTTGCTTTCATATCTACCTGGTATTAGTGTATTTCCACACCTACCACTCTAACAATTTGTGCCTCACACTGTGAATAAACAGAAAGTGCCACTGGCATCCTTTCTTAACAACCACAATCCCATATACTTCCATTACTAATTTATCACTTGCTGCTTGTATGTACACTGAGAGCTTATGCAATGGACACAAATTCCTTGTGTGTCCAATCACACTTGGCCAATAAAGAATTCTATTCTATTCTACTGATAATTAAATTTCACTCTCACCATTAGAGGTATAATAGAAGATATTTGATTTAAAAAAAATCAACTGTCTTGTTTATAATTGTCATTTTTTTTCTTTAGAGGCTCTTTTTTTTTAACTGCAGTCACTTTTTAACCCATCTAAAGAATAAATTTGATTTTTAAGCAGTTCTCCTGCAGTTAAGGGTTATTAGGAGGTATACTTTTGCAAGAACTACACAAGACACATTTTACAAAATCTTTTACTACTTGGTTTCAGGAAGGTGCAAAAGATGTTTTGGGAAAATATTTTAATGTCTGCTTTCTTCCAATATTAATGATGCTATTATATTCATATCATTATACAATATTTATTTGATAATATTTTAATTTGTTGTTTATATTTTTATAAGCCAAATGGTGGCTTCTAAAAATTATAATGGTGAATATCCTAAAAGACTTCAATAAGTTAAATCAATAGTACAGAATAAAAACAAAAATTAGATTTATTATTTCTTTATTATTCTCATATTTACAGGTGAGATGTTTTGGTAGAGCATCCTTCTTTAGTGGCATAGAAATCAGATTTGATTATTCTTTTCCCTTTTGTTCAGTTTGGGTAAAATCAGAAAGGTTTTAGAATTAGAGATCAATTAAAGATCATTATGAAGAATTTTATTAATGGAGACTATCACATTCTTTATCTTGAAACACCACTATCAAAGGTGTCTACCATTAAGTGCTTATTTTGAATTTCTAAAGAAAATATTTTTCTCTCAGAAAGTTGCCTATTGATGAACCAGCAATAATTTTGTCTCGGAGTAACTTTTTGAAGTAACAGCAGACTATAAGACATACAGTATAAATGCATTTATTCCCTACCTGGACTGAGACAGCATTATATTTAGATCCAAACTTGCAAGAAGATTAAAAAATAATATATTGTAGTATTAAATATATGCTTCATTTTAACTGAAAGCAGTAACTCTTAACAGTGTTCTAATTTAATAATCTCTACTTAAGTTAACTAGGTAGCTATTGCTACTTTTAATGTTTTATAGTTGAACTGGAATTTTAAAATTCAGTTATTTCAAGTAACACGATGAATTTGTGAATTACTTCTTTACTTACCGGCACATTTTGTCCTTGTTTTAAGTGCTGGTCCAGGAGATCCAGTACCCCCTTCACCTGGTCTAGTGAGCAATACACTAATTTCGTATTCTGTGTCAGGATCCAGGTGTCCAATTTTATACTTTGTTGAATCCACTGGTTGTATATCATACCAGCTTCCACTTGAGGTGCGATATTCTATTTGTCTCACAATGATAGGTCCATCTCCATTAATAGAATTGGCATTCAACTGTATCCATAAATAGGTTGCACCAACTGATGACAGTTGAGGAGGTGCAATGGGAACTGGAGGCTCTGAAACATAAATAATGAGTATATATGTATATGTAAAAAAACTGCATCTAATACAAAACTTTTCTATAGTTCTGACTTTTCTGCAAAAACTATTGTTACTATTTATTTGTTCTATTCAATATGCAAAAGAAGGGACTTGAACTCTCTCTCTTTCTCTCTCTCTCTCTCTCTCTCCCTTCCTCCCTCCCCCCCGCTCTCTCCATAAAAGGCAAAAGATCAAAGGCAGTTCCCCACTTAAAATATAGGTAAGTTCATTTTACTTTTCAAATACATTATGTTTGATAAAGCTTTTGCTTTTGCATAATGTACTTTCCTTGGTAGACACAGTTCTAATTTTATATCACTTTTTAATTATAGTGCATAATATACAAGGACTATCTACTAACAATTTCTTTTTTTATGACCCTGAAGTCCTTATTTAGATAAAGTCGGGATGATTAGATGGAGTTGACTGTTAACTGGCTGGATATTCTTCCCTGACGCTTATGAAGAGTTTGCAGTAGATATTTTTTCTTTGTGTCCTAGGAGAGAAACTTCTGCTACCTAGGATTGAACTCTCAACTTTCCAAGTGGGAAGCAAGCGTCTTCACTACTCAATCTCATTGCTCTGGACTATCTACTAACACTCAGACATTTAAAAACAGTGAGTTTTCTAGTTTTTTATAGCCATTAAAACAATGATTTAATTAGTTTTCAAGAAATCCTTACTAGGATTGAAGCCTTACTAGACTGAAGGTGAATTTCTCAGAATGCTTTCCTTTTCACTACATTTTACACAACATTTTAAATTTCATCATAGAGGAAACCCATGTGACAAACCCTTGTTTTCATTTCCTGTTAGCTTCCATGCTTACATTTCTCCATTGTGCTTTTTCCTTTAGTCACGTAACAGGCCTGTAATATCTCAGGTGTGCCATTACTAGTTTATTTTACTATATCATCCAATACCTTGGTTCAAGAATATTCATTTATAAACTCTCAGTTTTTAATTTTCCAGCTTGTCTTTATATTACTGATATTCTAGTATATTACTTGATACTGTGTTAAAAAGACTATCTTGTCTTAATTAAATTCAAAGTAACTAAAAACCAATTACTCCATTCCATAATCAACAAATGACATTTTACAAAATAACAAATATGAAATCTGTTCTCCTAAAATGACATCTAATAATTCCATTCATTTCTGTGATTAACACTTCCTAATGGAGATAGATGAGCTCTTTATCACTCATCTCCAATTAATTTAGAAATGATCTATACTTTTTTTCCATCAAAGCCAGAACTCATAACATTTTTCAAATGTTCTTCTTCCTTTCCTGACAAAAACATGACCTCCACTAATTATATAACTCAGAGAACTGCATCTCTGCTTTGGCTCTGAGGAATATTCCTGTTAAGCAGATTTAAGATATTTCTGTAATTTTGCACATGAACTAGAACAGCCTGTGAAAGCAATACCTTAATTAAACTTTTCTCTAGGTTGGATTTTAATCCATATTAAGGAAGAATTAAGAATCTTAAAACCCTTATCCATTTTTTTTGAAGCTAGCATTGCTAAGCCCCTTATCCCTCAACTTGAAGCTTGTAATTTTACTGAAAATGAAGAGGAATGTGATAGCGCCTTTTCTGGCAAACAAATTTTATAGGCATAAACATTCATGAACTACAGCTCAGTTCATCAGATGCCAAAAGTGGCTTGACTGATATAGGCTTTAAACTCAGATGAGGCAGGGTGGGAAGAAGAGAAGACAGGATGGTTATGCAGGGTATCAACTAACAATTGTAATGTGATACAAATCCATTTTCTGTTGTTTTTGTCTCCTATATCTATATAACTAACTTGTCTTCTCTTTCATCTCCCACCCCACCTTATTTCAACTTCAGACTCTTCAACCTTGAGGGTAACTCATAAACAAAGATGGGTTTTCACCAGTGGTGGGATTCAAATAATTTAACAACCGGTTCTCTGCCCGAATGATCTCTTCCAACAACCAGTTCACCCAACTGCTCAGAAAGTTAACAACTAGTTCTCCCAAAGTGGTGCGAACTGGCTGAATCCCACCACTAGTTTTCACCCAGTTTTCCAGAGATGGGAAGGAGAAAAACCCAGTCTTTCATGAAGTGAACGATCCAATGGCCTTTCCCAAGAGGAAAATTTGTGATAAGCAGCTCACTGCTGAGAGGAACGGAAGTCAGCAATCAGCAAACCAAACATGTTATCAAGTAAGGTCTATTGATTCCTAAAACTGAAGAACATGATTGAACGTGAGGAGTGAAGTTGATCCAACTAATCAAATCTATTGATAATTGTCCCTTTCTTGTTTCATTTTTGAACAAATTACACAGTCAAAAAGGTCCTGAAAAGAATATTGAGAGACTATGAAGAAAAAAAAAGTATTTAAATACAGATGGTGCTTTCATCCACACTTCTGACTGAATTTCATTGCCCAAGGAAGGAATGGAGGATTGTGGAGCTAAATGGCTGGTTCAAGGAATGGTATCACTGAGAAAACTTTGGATTCCCTGGTCTGATTCCTATCTAGAAAAAAAGACTCTGGTAAGAGATGGGCTGCAACTCACAAAGACTGAATTAATACTGCTGTAAAACATCTTGATTAATTTGTCTACAAGAATTTTAAAATACATTAGGCAGGAGAAGATGTCAATATCATGGCCGTACTCCAAGCTTAAGTTTGAAGTCTGTAAATCATACAACAAAAAGGGAAAGGCAATAAGGCATATTGAAAAATATACCAGGAGATTCTGTAAGAAAATGTAAGAAAAGTAGTACTAAAGAAGTCAGATACCTGTACATCAATGCTCAAAGTATGCTCAGAATGATCAATGCTCAGAAAAAAGCAGGGAGAACTTGAAGTCCCAGTATGAGGATGGCAAATATGACTTTGTTAGTATTACTGAAGCCTGGTGGAAGAGAATGTATCAGAATATAATACCAGAAGGATATAATTTGTTTAAAAGAAACAACGCCAACAAAGGAGGGGGGGGGGGAGAAACGTCATATTATACATAAACAAAGATACCACTAGGGAAATTCATGACCTCAAGGGTGAAAACTATACCCGAAGCAGCTGGCTGAATATTGAGGGAAAAATAAACAAGAATTATTCTGCTGCAGATGTGTATGCAGACCATTCAATCAAATAGGTGAAATTTTCCCAAATCAGATTTATGTACAGGAAACACACATTACTCTAATGAAGTATTTCAACTATCCCAACATGTGCTGGAAATCAAATTCTGGCAAGTGGGAAAGCCATCAGATTCTTGATGTACTTTGTAGACAACATTATCACCCAAAAGGTAAAGGAAAGAACTAGACGATCAGCTAATAGGCATCTACTAGCAGGAGATAAATTATTAAAGAAATTGTAGGAGCCCTGGAAAGAGTGACCCCATGAATTTAGAACTCAGCATAATGCACTTAAGGCGGAGACAACAGAAGTTAGTCTGATTATTGTTCTAGATTTTCAGACAACTGACTTCAATAAACATGGAGGAAAAGCAGAAAAAATTCCATGGATGGAAATCCTGAAGGAAAAAATAATTCAGGAGAGTTGGGAGATTTTTGCAAAAAAATCAAACAAAATCCCCCAGATAATTAAAGCCCAAACACAAACAATACCAAACAGACAAGAAAAATGAGACAAAGCTAATGAGGCTAGTGTGCTTACAAAAAAAAAAAATCCTGATAAATTGACAGCAGAAAAGAAACAGGTCTTAAAATGAAAAGGGTGGCATAAAGATAATCGTCTACTCAAACCAATTCACCAACTGCAGTAACAACACTGAAAAAAGTACTTATTACTGGTTTATTTATTTATTTTATATTGCTGTCTATTTGCACATGGCGACTCAAGGTAGCTTACAGAATATAAAACCTCATTTAAAACAATAAAAAAGAATCAAATAAATTAATATAATAAAATAAAATCACCCCCCGCCCCGGCGACAACAGATCACACGAGCCTGGGTTTCCCAGGCCTGCTGGCAGAAGCAGGTCTTCAGCACTTGATTTTCACACTTATGACCATTGCAGTATCCCAATGGTTATGTGATCAAAATCCAGGTGCGTGGCATCTGGCATGTACTTATAACAGCTGCATTGACCCGGGGTCGTATGATCATCATTTGTAATCTTCCCAGCCAGCTTCTGACAAGCAAAGTCAATAGAAGAAATCAAATTCACTTAATAATTGCATGATTCACCTAACAACTGAAGTGATACACTTAACAACTGTAGCAAGAAATGGTTGTAAAATGGGAAAAACTCACTTAACAATGAAAATTTTGGGCTCAGTTGTGGTCATAAATCGAAAATTACCTGTATAACAAAAACCACTAATTAGGAAATATTCCAAATCTGTAAGAATGGGGTTAGGCTATGAAATAGATCAGGCTTCCCCAACCTATGGGCCCACTAGGGGCCATGAGGGTCCTTCCCACAACCATTAAAGGAAGCGATTGTAAGGCCTCTTCTCAAGAAGCCTTCCCTGGACCCAGGAGAATTAAAGAACTTTCGTCCAGTCTCCAACCTACCCGTTGTGGGAAAGGTTGTAGAGAAAGTGGTGGCACTTCAGCTCCTGCGGTCATTGGATGAATCGGATTATCTGGACCCTTTTCGGTCCGGTTTCAGGCCTGGCTACAGCACGGAAACTGCCTTGGTCACGCTGATGGATGTTTTCTGGCGAGCCCGAGATGGGGGTCATTCCTCTATCTTGGTGCTACTTGACCTCTCAGCGGCTTTTTATACCATTGACCATGGTAGCCTTCTGGGGCGACTAAGGGAATTGGGAGTGGGAGGCACCGTGTTGCGGTGGTTCTCCTCCTATCTCTCTGATCGATCTCAGTCAGTGTTGGTAGGAGGACAGAGGTCGACCTGAAGGCTCCTCATCTGCAATCTGCAATTGCGACCCTACTTGGATCAGGAGGCTTTCCTCACAGTCACTCATACCCATGTCACCTCACTGCTGGACTACT